GGACAGTGTTGACATGTCATGGGGTTGTTATCCATTGTCATAGGGCAATACATGTACTAACTGTTTAATGAGAAACTATTTGTTCTGCAAACCTTCATCTAAGGTACCAACAACAAAAAAGAATTATCTATGTGAGATCAAATTGACAACAGCAACTCAAAAGGTTTGATGGGAAGTCTAGGGGACAGTGAGTTGAAGATAATTTGGAAAAGGATAGTGAGAATAACAGCACAAATGGAACAATGTAATTGATGTCACTGAATTGTACACATAGAAACTTTCAAAATGGTGTAACTTCTGCTATGTATATTTTCACCAAAAAAAAGTTCCTCAAAGTTGAGAAGGGAGAGTGTTGACATGTCATGGGGTTGATAACAAATGTCATAAAACACTATGTGTACTGACTGTTTAATGAGAAACTTTTTGTTCTGTAAACCTTCATCTAAAGTACAATAAAAAAATTTAAAAAAAAAAAAACCAGTTGGCACCAAGTTTCTGCCAACTCATGGCAACCCCATGTGTTGTAGAGTAATACTGCAGTGGTTGTGACTTTTTGTAAGCAATTGCTAGGCCTTTCTTCTGAGACAATTGGGGGTGGGGGGGTGTTCGAGCAACCAATGCATCATTTGGTATTGAAGAGCTTAACCTATGCACCACCTAGGGACTGAGTGAATATTAATTGTAGGTATACTGTGCCAGGCCAAGGGCTGGAAGCCAAACATCCCCTTCCGGGGAGCAGCCAGTGCAGTGGAGGTAGAGAGAACCATAGACATGCTCAGATGGAAGTTTGAACACAGCTACCCTTTGGAATCTCTGTAGTGGAGCCCTACTGAGAGGTAATTAAGGAAAGAAGTAGCAGCAAACTTAAACACCAACAAAGGAAAAACATGGAAAGATGGGAGACAATCACCAGGAAATATAGGATAAAAGTTCAGAGAATCAGATATGTTTCTGCCCCCTTTCCATGGCTTCAATGGGGACTGTTAAATAGGGTCAGCTGTTATTATCCCCAGTTGACAGATGTAGAAACTAACGTCCAGTGGCTGCAAGTGGCTTTCCAATGTCTACTTAGGACAACAAAATATTAATTATATGAATAGAGATTGAAAAGACCTCTGCAGCTTAGAGATGGCAGTATTCAATGCTTGCATCCCCTGACAAGGACGACTATGGAAAATGTGAGACCCCAGACCGGCACAGCAAGATTGTTAAATTTCTGCTTCCTATCTCCATGGTGATTACCGCAAAGCTTACCCACAAGTCTTCATATAAAAGACTCCATCTCCTCTCAGCAGAGATAAAGAAAGTTGCAAGTTATGACAGATACTAATGGTAATGTATGTAACTTCCCTCTCTATGTTCCTAAAGCAAGAAGTTCGAGGAACACATTCAAACAAGGAGAGATTAGAATGTCATCTGATAATTATTGACAATTTAATCAGCTCGCCTCGACCCAAAGCCATTCTTATTCATTATGGAAACAAAAACCCCTGTGGAAACTAAAATGCTTTCCTTTTCCCCCCAAATACACAGTCAGTTAAGATGATTTTATAATTAATACCCATACAACCAACTGTCCACCCTACTCACCTGGTTCAGCTGGTTGGAACTTACAGCTATACAAACAGCAAAAGTTTAGCCTTTACTTGGGATGAAATGCAGTCAGTAACATGCCCTAACCAATAAAAATGGTCTTGCTCTGTCCAGACAAATAGTAGAAGGAGGCTTTGTGCCACTTAAATCCATAGATGCTAACACTTAATGTGAATCGTGTAACAGGAGAAGTATTGAATGTGTGAAGAAAGACAGTATGTGTGGAAGAACACCCTATACACCCAAGTCTCTCTCTTACTTATTGGTGTATAATGCACTCAACAGGTAATTTGAATGCTCTGCTCAGAGAGTGCAAAATGATACAGTTCCTTTGGAAGACAGTCTGGCAGTCTCTTACAAAGAAAGCCAATATTTATAGGTTTACCAAGTGATCCAGAAATTGTGCTCCTGGGTATTTACCCAAATGAGTTGAAAATGAATATCCACACAAACACTTGCATACAAACATTTATAGAACATTTATTCATAATTCCAAAAGGTTGGCATTCAAATCTAGCAGCTGCTCCTTGGAAACCCAATGGGGTACTTCTACTCCATCCTGTAGGGTCACTGTGATTCAGAATCAACTCAACGGCAATGGGTTTTTTTGTTTGTTTGTTTTTTGTTCGTTCTTTTGGTATTATTTATAAATGCCAAGAATAGGAGTAACTAAGAAGACCTTCATTAGGTAACTGGATAAAAAAATTGTTGTACATCTATACAGTGGATGTGGTGAAATGAGCTCCTTTATGAGGGCTTTTGCCTTGTGTCTTTGGAAAAACAACTTAGGGGATTTTTCCCCTAAGTAATTGATGGTCCCTTAGAAGTTATTACCTTTGCCCTAATTCTTGGGAAAATCAACATCAGGGACTTCCCAAGTTGTTTCCTATTCCATAGTGTTTGGGTTACTTTTACTCACTGAAGGAGCTGGTCTCAGCCAGCAGAGAATGTTACTTTTGTTAATTTTGTACAAGACCTGAGATGACTGGCATTTCCTGGATAGTCTTCAGAGTTTTCTGGAACAGCCATTGAAGATAATTTCTCTGTTCCTCTGCCTCTGTATTAGTTATCTATTTGCTATAAAAAGTACCCTGAAATTGAATGGCTTCAAACAATAATTTTATTACCTCATTTTCTGTAGATCAGTAATTTATAAGTGGCCTACCTAAGGGGTCTGGCTCGAGGTCCCTTGGGTGGTTGAGGTCACGATGTTGGCCGGGGCTACAATCAACTGAAGAATTGACTGTGGTACATAATCAACTTCAAAGGGGTCTCAATCATATACCTTGCAAGATAAGACTGATCACAGCCAAACGTCCCATTTTTTTGCTGTGTGGATACATGAGTATCCTTACAACATAGCGATTGGCTTCCCCAGAGTGAGTGATCCAAGAGGGACCAAGGTGCAAGTTAAATTTCTTTCATGACTCAACCTCAGAAATCACACATCATCGTTTTCACAACATCCAAGTGGTTTCACAGGTCATCTCTATTCATGTAGGAAGAGATTACACAAGAGCATAAATACTAGGAGGATAAAATCACTGGGAGTCCCCTTGAAAGCTGGCAATCCCAGCCTACAATCACAAGGTTGCACTACTGAAAGGAAAGCTGGGGAGCACAAAGTTTTGGTGCCAAGCAGACCCAACACATAATAGGTGCTTAACAATATCAGCCCCCTCCCCTTTTTTCTCCCTGTACTGAACCACATGACCAAAATTCACCACTGCTCAGACATCTTAGTTGATCCAACAACCTCACTTCCATTTTCAGTAATTCACAGTATCTTATTACTTCCTCCAGTTTCCCCCAGTTCTCATCTAACTTCTGGATTCTATACATCTTACTGTACCTGAAGTGAAGAAGAGATGCTCCAGTTATCTATTGTGGCATAGCACACCATCCAAAAGCAGTGAATAGTGATGTTCCTTTATTTTGCTCATGAATCTGGGTTGACTGGGCCAAGGTGAGCAGTTATTGCTGGGTCTCTAACATGGTTGCAAACAGATTGGGGTTGGTGTCATTTGAAAGCTCTCTCACATGTCTGTACCTGGGCTAGAAAGATTCCTGTATCGGGTGGCTAGAATGTCGGGGCTCCTCAGGAATTCCTGTCTCTCTAGATAAATACACAACAGATGATAGATAGCTAATAGATACATACATAAATAGCTATAGATTTTAGATAAGTAGGTAGGTAGGTAAGTAGGTAGGCAGAAAGACAAAAAGAAAGGGAATTTTATGTAAGAGAACTAGGTAAGCTGAATTTACTTATCTGGTATTGATTTAATCACCATCTTATATAACAGAATGTATAATACTGTATGTGAACACCAAGAAAGATAAATGGACAGATTTTGTATCATTCATCAAGGACAATGGATTGTGACCATCTTTATTTCTGGGTTTTATTCACAGAGTCATTTGAGGTCCCTGGTTATCTGGAAAACAGCTTCCTTCAAGAACAAGGCTGAAGTCCTTAGGGAAAGTCAGGCTCCACCTACATTTCCAACTCTTGACTCAAACATTATAACAACAGGTACTTCTGGTGCAAGAAATGATTTCTTGCTTAATTTTAAGGGAATCTGCAACAGTGAAACAGGCATATTGAGAACCAATAAATGAAGCATTAGCAACAACAAAAGTAAAGTAGACAAGGTAAAGACAATACTGCTCAACAAACATAAAAACACTACTTTTGCCATCATATCTTTACACCTATTCTAAGCTGTTCCAAGACTAGACAATGAAAGTATTCATCTACCCATTCAATTAGCAAAATAATTGCACAAAAAACCACGTTACTTTATGTTCTTTTTAATTTAAATTGTGAATAAAACAAAGAAGTTTTTAAAATTTAAACTAGATTCTTAGATATTATTTCAAACTATTCTTGAAAAGCCATACAAAGTTAATTTTGTGAGCGCTGAAACTTGTGAAGTAATCATAAGTAGGTATTATACACTTTAATTGTATGGGCCGTCCCTGGCTTCCAAAGAGTTCAGTCACACCTTTTCACTGAACCTAATTTAATGATGACAAGAGGGCTTCAGGAGTGCTATGCCTTGGTTTTTCTAACATCTTCTTCAGCTCTCAAGAGTATTGTAAATGATAAACTTCTTTTGATGTACTCTTTTCATTAACAGTTGGAGTTCTTTGTGCACTGTCACTCCAGTTGACACCACCAACACAGTAAAATTCTGATCTTAGTTGAGTGAAGGGCAAGAAAATTGTGATGGAGTGTGAGTAGCACTGATCATTCACTGGAAAATGGCCAGGAAGGATTATGCCCCATCAAAGGTATGCCACAGGCCTGAGTCCCCTGTTTGTACACACCTACAGGACCACTACACAGCTGCCCTAAACTCACAAATAAGATGGAAACTATCTCAAACTACCCCCTGCAGCTATTACTTGGCAGTCAAAAGACCCCAGCTTCTCTGGAGCAGAGATTCTGGAAAGGAAGATGAAGTATCCAGGATGGGCCTGGATTGTGGGAGTAACCCACAACTGGCAGAAAAGCTTTGAGTCAGTAGTTGTTAACCTTGGCCACACAAGAGAATCAATGGGTGAGCTTTTAAATCCATACTGGGCTAATGATATTAGAATTTTTGAGCTGTCCCATGCATCAGGAATTTTTAAGCTCTCTGGTGATTTTAATGTATAGATGGTGGTTGAGAATTACTTTCATGATCAAGATTCTGTAAGTTCTGCTGGAGAAGAACATCATTCAAAAGTCAGCACAGGGCCATTACTATGCTACATGATTATGCACAACATTTCTTCATCTTTCAAACTGAAATGGACTTGAAAGAGAAATTAAAACATTGCTTTAGTTTAAATGGACTATGAGTAATTCTATCAAACTTATCTGCATTGAGTCTAAATGATCTTTATATATTGGTCTTTATAAAACCACACACATAGAACTCCAAAACTGAAAGGCCGTGAAAGTTCATAGATGTCTTCAAATGCATTCTATGACCAATGGAACAGTTTATTAAAACATGAATGAGCACATTTTTTAATACAGATCCCTCAGATTAAAATACTCCCAATCAAATATTATTTACGTAGAGAATTTACTTTCTGACCTGTGTTTCTTTACAAGGTTTGACAGAGAACTCCTGCAGAGTTCTGACAACAGCAAGTTTCATTGTCATGAGAGCAAACCTCATGCCGATGCAGTTTCGGGGTCCACTTCCAAAGGGCATGTATAAATAAGGATCTCTGTTGTCCTTGCTCTCCTTACTGAACCTAGTTCAACAATAGTAAATGAAAACAAGTTAATAAAGCATAAAAACCACAAAAGTTCCATGTTTGGGGTTTCCACTTAGAACCCTCAACCAACTGTAAACAGAATACATTCACAAACTAGTTACTGAAATCTTACTACGATTTTTTTTTTGCTATGAGAATTGTAAGCTACAGATCTTTCCATTTCCCTTATGCTATAGGAGCTTTCAGTCTTGAGGAGATGAGAGGAATGTTGTTTAAAAGAAAATATATCTTTAAACACTGCAATTACGCTCAATGTAGCGAGATTTTAACACTATGAAAGGTACTTGGGAAATAAGACTCATTGAAGGGAAATTAAGTTCCTAACTCAACTCACACTTTGTTGTTGTTAGGTACCGTCATGTCGGTTTTGACTCATAGTGACCCTATGTACCACAGAATGAAACACTGCCTGGTCCTGAGCCATGCTCACAATCGTTGTTATGCTTGAACCCATTGTTGCAGCCACTGTGTCAATCCATCTTGTTGAGTGTCTTCCTCTTTTTTGCTGACCCTCTACCAAGTATGATGTCCTTCTCCAGGGACTGATCCCTCCTGACAACGTGTCCAAAGTATGTAAGACATAGTCTCGCCATCCTTGCTTCTAAGGAGCATTCATTCTGGTTGCACTTCTTCCAAGACAGATTTGTTTTTTCTTGTGTCAGTCATATTCTCATTCTGGGAGGAAGCAGGAGAAAATGCCTACCACTATTTACTGTTATATTTTCCTTCTCTTCTTCTTTTCTGTCTTCTCTTATTTCCTTTCTTTTTTATCTCTTCTCTTCATTCCTCTTCTTCTCCTCCTCCTCATCCTCATTTTCCACCTTTTCTTCTTTTCCTCCTCATACTTTCCTTTTCCCTTTCTTCTTCCCACTCCTCTTCTTCCTGCTCCTATTACTTCTTTTTTATCTTTATCACTCTCGCTAATAGAATAGAATACTTAAAGTCACATAATTTACACAGGCATATGATGCTACCCCACTATAGTATAATCACTGATTTCCTTTGCTAACTGTCCACGAGTCTATAAATTCTTTAAAGGTTCAGCCCAATTTAATTCAAATTTGATTCCTAAATATTTGATCAT